TTTTCCAAAAGGTTGCTAATTCCTTAGAAAGATTTTCTTGATCTTTGTATGTTTTTCCAAATTTAGAATAATATATTCGAAAAGCAGTAAAACCGTTAACTATAGTCTTTCTTTCAAGCTCCTTCTTTTTTCTGACGTTCGTCACGGAATTTTTATTTAGTAAATTATTTGTGGCATACTTGTCAAGAAATTTCTTTAAACTCGAAGGCATGTGGTAAGTTGGGGTCGGTTTACCAATGAAGATTTCGGTCTTTTTGGAAATTTTGCCTGTACCATTAGTAGGCCGTTGCTTGTTGACTCTCATACGTTTACATTCAACTTTTTTTTTTCTCTCACTTCTTGTCATTTATGTTATATAATACAATAATACATCTCATGCTTTTACATAAAACGAACAGATCGGTGGCACAAGAGCTTTCAACATCCTTTTCTTTTGCACCGGCTTCTTTTATTTGTAAACCATATTCTTACCTGTGCAGGAGACAGATGACATCTCTCTGCTATTAGTTTTCTTTCTGCACTATTTGGAGAGTTCTTTACTATGAAAAGAGCTTCTAACATATTTCGACTTTCTTTGGTTATTCGTCTCCGACTACCACTATAATAATAATCATCGGCTTTGACATCATTTTCTTTCGTTTCATCATGGAACTGAATATAGTCTGAAAATAGAAAGTCCGGCCCGTTACATAGTTGCGACTGGCTGAAGTCAAATGATTGAGATATTTCTGAGTTAGTCGACGTTGTTAAATTTGCATAATCAAAATCAAAATCGTTAAGGTCGAATGTAAAAGAATCTGTAGTATCGAAGCTACTACTAGTATTATCGAGATTTAAATCGACACCCGAGAACCAAGTATCCTCATAATTGTTGTATTCTTGTTTTGATGGCTCATAGTATTGTGTACTCAGAGAGAAAAGGCCGATGAGATATTGCTTATAATTTAAAAACAGCTCATCAACAGCTTCTTCAGCCATCTGATTGTCAATAAGAACATCAGCTTCTTTCTCAAAAGTGTCTTGGCATACTTGAATCAGCTGAACTAACTGGACACTTTTAGCAGCTGGCAACTCCTCTATATCTACTAATTTTCGGTATTTCAGCCTTTTACGACCAACTTTTTTTTCTTGATACTCGCCTGTTAAGCTGCAGATGCTTAAAAGTGGTAATACAGTAGATTCTATATTGGATGGTTGGGCTGTTAAGTCTTCCATACTTATTGAATCAATTTAGGCCAAAGCTAAGGAAACAGCACACAATGAGCCCTTCGTGAGAAAGAGCGAAGCATCACACATTTAATGGGTTTTTGATCTGCGCGGCTGTGCAATTTTGGATGATTCTGAAACTCGTTTCAAATTATACCCCTTGTTCCAATTTGCGAGCTTGACGCTTTGTACAGTCTATATAATATATATATGTAGTACTTCTGCCAGGCGTCAACAATTTCTTGTTATTCCAACTAGTAACTGTATAATACTTTTACTTTCTTCTGTAGACAATACTAGCCATGTATACATTTATGATCTATGAGAGTGAGACAAAGCCAAATGAAACTGAGAGTCTACAAAGAAGTCCTGTTTCTTTCGAGTTCACCGACATAGTTAAAGCTGAAGATGGATTGAACCAAAAAAAGCTCAGAGAAATCAAAAAATCTAGAGTAGAGTTAATCAAACGGAAACCGAGAAATATGTTCATGATCTTTCGCGGGCTAGTTAAACATTTGATATTGAAGAAAATACCAAACGGTTCATTTGCTGATGTATCAAAAATATCATCCATGGTAAGTACTATTGTAATCCATCTATATATTAATATCAGAATAATGATTACTAACAACTTTTAGGCATGGTCAAAGAGAACCCCAGATCTTGAAAAATATGTCAAGTATCTTTCGAAACAAGAAGAGACATACCAAAACAGGCACTGCCTCAATAATCCTAGCTTGAAAAAGGATGAAGCCAGAACTAGGTCTCCGCTAAATAACGCCTCCATAGTGGGTTTCAACTGTAGAGTTTTTAAGCATTATCAGGTGACCAAAAGTAGGAGTAAAAGTAAGCCGCACCACAGTGTTACTACCAGAAAGCTTTTTCCAGGAAAGTTTAGGATTGAGGACATTTATGTAAACAGCGTCTAAATAGGAAATGATTGATACCAAAATACAGCGAGCGCAGATTGAAACTGATACAGTACCGCAGTGCGGTTTTTTTTACTTATCAGTTATCTGTAATTTATAAACCTTAGTGGGGGGGGCTAGGTGCGTGGGTTATTGGCTAGGTGCGTGGGTATAATAGAACTAGGTGTGCGGGGTATAATAGATTGACCATTCTTTTTTGATGAATGGTTAAGCAGTGCTAGCCCATCTGATAGGAGTATATAGCCCCGTGTAGAATATATACCTCAACTATCCACTACTCATCCGACTTCGCCATCTCTTTTCTTTTTTACTACCCATTTTACCCTTTGCCCTACTTCCTTCTATTTTTAAAGCCCTGGTTAAACATCAACGTTTCCCAAATAGGCTTCTTATCACATGCATCAATTTGACGTGCGGCTGAAACAATAACACAGCCTTGATTGCCGTCAACATTTTTGGTTTCCGGTTCGAAACCAATATTGGCCTTCTTTCCAAAGGAATCTACAACTACGGGCTCATCCCATAATACGACAAAAATGACCCCCGGTTCGATTCCCGAAGTATCCTATTTCAATTAATAGTTCGAGTGCGCGACAGGGAAAAATCTGTAGGCGCGAATTCTAGGCAAAAAATGGCAACCGCATGCGCAGGTGTCGCGACACCATCAGCCTATCGCACACTTCGCACTACGGTGTTCCAATCATGAGCACTTCACAAACAAGATAATTGGCGATTCTCAGCAGACTGCTCTTATACCATGGTAGGATCAGATTTCTTGATGTGATGTTTATTGTTTTAATCTATCTATCCTTGCTACTATATCCATGATGTATACTCTTGATCTGTTTGTTTTTTACTCGATATATGTATGTATATTATATATAGCTTATGTAGAAACTCAGTATCTCATACATAACTACACGGGGAAATACCTCAAGTATTTATAGACTTCCTGAATTGGTTATTCTTTCCAGTTTTAAATTACTCTGATGCCTTTTGATAATAAGGCTCTGGTCTTCATGTTGCGATCAGTCCTCACCAATCAAGATATGGTATCTCGACATCCAATTTAGTATGCTTTCATTTCCGTTATATTATTTTTTTTAACGCCACAACTATTTTACCCGGCGGGCTAACTCTAAGTTCACTCTCAGTGAACCGTGATTATCGATAGTGCTGTCATTCTTTTTGCAAAACGGTCCACTCCTGATCACTTGTAGTGTTGAATACATTGTTTGCATAAACCAAAATTTTGCTTTAAATGGCCTAGGTATGTTTAGTAGCTTGAAAAGGGTTATGTATTTTCTTCACCTGTAACGCACTAATATCAAGGACCCTAGTGATTCTATTACCACACTTTTAAGCTTTTCTCCATTGTCAATCTTCTTTGGATCATTATTTGATCTCAGCATTATCACTTCATTTGAGCTGTGGCTGAAAATTTTTAAGGTAAATAGGGAGAAGCGCTTCTCTAGTATTTACTGTGAATAATTATGGATTTTACTTGTTCTTCCATCAACTTGAGCATAAACAGATCTAAGAGTCTTCTGAGAAAATCTAATCAGAACATTTCGACTAAGCGCCATCTTTCTGCATAATTAAATAAAATATGGGTAAGTGCGGATGTCAATGACTATTCCACATGTCTGAATAAGATATCATTATGCACTTTTTGACGAAGACCAAAAAAGCCGATCTCAGTTGAATGTGGATCAGCTGATTACTTGCCATGGCTTGCTTTTCAGGCAACCTATAGTCAGTTCTTTGAACTTGTTTTGAAAAAGTTGATAGGGGGATTGGATTTAAAGGACATTTACCTAGCTCACATGTGTGAAATCGACTCGTTAAAATAGCAGTTTTTACTACGTGATATATATTCATAGAACGTTGAGCCCTAAGGAGGAATTTTAGAATTTGCCCTTATAACCATTATCTGGGCCTTCAACCTGTGAAAGATGACTTTAAACTCAAAGATTTGGAAAAGGCCTAGCCTTTTATGGGAATAAATTTGTACCCTCCCATTTTTTGTTGGATGGTAACGGAATTCCAATAATTTACCTTCACTGAGCTAACGTCTTTACAGGTATAAGTAGAAGAGCTAAGTACTAAGTACTAGGAATGCTTTGAGATTTTGTCGCAAAAAAATTATTTACTCTCTTAAACATTGAAATTCAAATTAGTACTATGATAGCTCTCTAAACTTACAAAACTGTTAACAAAAATAATAACACTTGCTATAGGATTAACTGATTTCATCCATATGGGTGAAATTTTACTTCAGATTCATGTTAGTAGTTGGCCATAGCATATATAACATAAAACCTTGAGTTTTCTGGATCTAGTGTTTTGCATATCCTCTTGCATCAAGAATTTGGATCCTAAAGTCTAGTCATTTAGCTCAACCTCTTAGCACGGCTTAAAGACAATTAGCGTGTGTTGAACCTCACTCATTTAAAATGGATACTTCAAAAGATGCTTATTTCATGGAGTCAAATTGGATTTCAAAAAGTCACTAGTATATTCATTATGACTCATAAAATCATGTCTTTAAAGTTTTGAACAAATTTACTAATTGCTGTTTGCTTATCAATTTTTTTATTAGTTAGGTAAAAAAGCAAGCAATTTCTAAACTAGTGTAGTGTGAAAACTCTGGCACAATTTCTTCTAGAGCTCACCACTACAAAGATAACAACGGTGTTTCAGGCTTTCTAATGTACTTAAAGCGAGTATTCCAACCTTGTTTGCACGAGACGCATTTTTCTTCTCAATATCCTTGTGTGGAAGTCTGGTTTCAGCATTACTAAATCTGAAATGAATAATTTTGCCTGCTCAAATTTCTAACTGAGATGATAAGCATTGATACGCTGCAACAACAGTCAACTACAGAATTAACATTAGTTTTCTGGTTACAAGCATCTAATTATTGATGAATTACTTGTTGGTATAATATACAGGTTATGAAAGCTGACAGCATAAAAATGACTTTGAGGCACTATTTCGACTGCGCCAACGGAAAACGCTAGTAGTCATGCAGCGCGGGTGCTTTAAGCTGCCATTAGCCGGAGAGAGGTACAGGCTTAAAACCAGACAAACGCAAACATCTTATTTATAAACTTTGCCAAATTCATATTGCAGTTCTTTAATTTAGATCATCCACGGCTGTAACAGCTGCAAAACATTGAAACTCAAATTGGTGAGGAATGTTTCCCTCTGAGTTCTCTTCTCTCCAAAGCTCAGAACGCAAATAGATCATTTTATTTGACGTGGACATTATCAGATAATTGATTCTTTCATTAATTTTCATCTATTGGCTTTATTTTAACCAAGCCTGGCCTTTAGGAACTTAGATTGGTTGCTGTTGAAGAGATATGTGTTGTTCAACAACATTGCATAGCTAAAAGTAGCAATAGCACTAGTTTGATGAAACGGATCAAGATTATATGTCTCTTAAAAAGCTTCAGCGTATTTCATTTTTCCAGACTTTCCTCATGAAAAAGCTACATTGATTGCTTTTTCGATAGTTATCGGAATAACACTAAGTCGATTTTGAAAAGCGATGGTACTGGTATACCTGACAATTTCTTGACACAATACGTTTTAAAATATGAATCCCTATACACAATTAACATGGATTATTATCAGTAAAAAAAAGCAAATGGCTTGATTTGTTCAAGTCTCTTATTGCAGTTAAGCTTCATTGTAGCAAAAAAAGTGAAGAAACTCGGTCACAGAGCAATGAGCGTTAATGATTCTAATATCTGAGAGTAGGCAATTATCTCGACATTGAATTCACAGGTCAATAAAATTCAACCGAAACACAACCTGGATGATGATAATTGACTCTTATGCTTTTGATTTGCAAAATACTTTTGGCAGAATGTTTCTTCAATAGAATAAATTTTCCTAGTTTCAGGTGATTTCTTAAAAATTACTATATTAAGGCCTAGGTGATTCCTCTAGAGGCACTTTTACTTTCAGAAGCTTGATAGCATGGGCAGGAAAGGCTACCATGAAACGCAAAGCACAATTGTGGAGGATGAGTTGGAAAAATGATTGAAAAACGAACTAACTTTTCACTCGCGCCTGCGACAGAAAAAAAGGGTAGTGTGTTGTGACAAAATGACCATCCATATCACTCGCTGTGCTTGTTTCAAGACCATTTCAACATATCGAGTTAAATCTACTAAACAAAACCTAGTTTATTTGCAGATCATACACCTTTGAGGCATAAAAAGCTTTATATGTCTTGCTATACAAGGAACTAATCAACTTTTCAGATCTGCATCCACTTTACTTATTTTGCTGCATTTGAATATTAAGTATACTTTTTCAAATCATGAACTGCACGGACAGTCCACAACTAAAAAACTTTTAAAGGCCAAAGAAATTTTTCAAAAACCTTGAATGTTATTCCTGCAAAACCTTATACGCTTGCTCAAGAAAGCCTTTTTAGAAGTATGACACTCTTTGATTGAACCTAATGTTCATCTTTTAAGTTCTCTCAACCAAAAATCGGCTATCGAAATTATTACTACAATTTTTTCTCCTCTGTGAATGTTAAATCAATGAAGATTAAAAAAAGCAAATCAGACATTTACACAAGCTTGATGTGAGATCGACCACACCAGAACTGACAGGTTGTACTTCACCATCACAACTAGAAATCCTCTATGCCACAGCTTTAGGACTTTACATCTCAGATAAGATAAGTGTTTGAAAGCTTAATGAGGGAAGTTTGCAACTATTTCCTCACTGAATCTTATGCCAAAACAATTTTAGCTTGCCAGTCGTCGAATTGACAATTGCACGTATGGGGTTTGCAATATTATTTAGCTTGAAAATCTCCGCATATATATCATCCCGTTGTTCTAATTTCAAACATATTCCTTACATTTTGCATTTTTTTTGCCCATATTGTAATTTGTGAGTGGGCTTTCATCGAAAGCAGCTCAAATATTTGATAGCTGCAAGTTAACTTTCTTTTAATTTCTTACTTTTAT